TCTTCTTATGACTGACTGGAACAAAAACAGAATTAGTCATAATATATTTATAGTTTTAAACGCAATAGTTATCGTAACATTGCCCCCCTCTTAAAAGATGTTTCCTCCTGGAACCTTGTCGGTACTGGAACTGGAACGACATGCTGGTATCGGCAACTGGACCCTCTTTTACAACTTCCAGTCGTATAAAAATGACAAGGGACGGTTTTCTCTCCGCGCCAATAACTATGCGGATTGCTACAGACTAACACCTGGACTTCGGTGTCTCTAAAGATCTCCTCCACCATACTTCGAATAACCCTCCAATCTAATTGGCGGCAGTCTAACTTTGGCATGGCTAACTTTTGCACGTCGGACTCTAGTACGTGCTCTCTCAACTGAAGTAAGGCTTCCCATACATCTCGGTAGGTAGGTTGGTCACGGGCAGTGTCTTTTGTTACCAGGTAGAAAAGGTAACGTGATGCATCTTGGAGTTTCAAGGTTTTACCTGGAGCTGGCACTTGGCATTGAAGTTCTGCAACTCGACCAATCTTCCTTCGAAAGACGGATACCAACCCTGGTGCGTCTTTGATACTGGTCGGGATGGTAAGGGCCAGTGAGTAGTCATCGATCCGAGGCAGAGGATAACTATCTTTCTTGGTAACGTTGTTCAGCAAACGGTAATCCACACAGAACCTCGTTGTTCCGTCTTTCTTCTTAACCAGGACCACCGGAGAGACCCATGGGCTCGTAGAAGGTTCTATCACCCCGTCTTTCTTCATTTCCTGAACAATCGTTTCAGCTTCCTCTCTTTTCGCCTGTGGTAATCGTCGAGCTGTTTGACGAATTCCCTTAATTTTCTTTTTTCAATCTGATTCAGAGACTGTCCAGCAACTGCGACCATTTGATCAAATTTATCGTTGGAATTATCTGACGTTGTCGTCTGACGGATTGTGGATGTGACAGGTACACAAGTTCCTACTTTTGTCTCTTTCTTGATGGTCACTGGGTAGTCATTGACATTAAGTCTCACAGGAATTTCTTAAGCCGAAGTCACCAATTCTTTTCCAATTATGATTCCACGGCCAACTTCGTCGTCATGATTCCAAGGCTCCATCATAACAGGTGTTCCTTCGTTCACAATTCCCTGTAGCCGCGCTACTATGATCGTTTCACTTCTCGCAGGCACGACTGTATCTTCTTTAACGGCTGCTTGCATAGTGTTGTCATCATGTGGATGGAGAAATACCTCCTCGTTACCAACTTTGATTACCTTATTCTTAAAATCCAATTGGAATCCATGCGTATTCATTACGTCCATTCCTAATATAACATCCTCTTCGATGTCAGCAACTATAACAGTATGGACGAACATTTCTGCTCCAATTCCTAATTGTATCTGGATTTCTCCGTGAATGTTGGCATTTTCACCCGTAGCGGTCCGAAGTCGCAACCTCATTGGTAACAGTTTCTTACGGCTGTTTATAACTGTCGGGCGAATAATGGTTCTTGTCGCTCCAGTATCCACCAACAACGTATGCTTTTTACCATTTATTTCTCCATCTACATACACTATCTTCACGACATTTCAAAGAAGCTATTATACCTTATTCCATTAAGCGATGCAGGGCATATAAACAACGATAAATTTAACAGATAATTGTTAAAGGTGTTCCAAATGAGTCTACTCGTTCCGATAAGTAACAGTATAATTATGACACTTTATTATTTTTTTTTCTTTTCTCAAATATTCGTGTTTATTGCATAGTAAATAAATTAATGTTTTCACTGAATACATAGTAGGTGAAAAAATAATCCGATTTATAAAATTAATGAATATTTTATGCATAAATGCACGTAACAGTTCTTCAAAAATATTTAAAAACTAACCGAAATGTCCATCTTTATTTCGTCTGACGACGTTATCGGCGGGTCATACCGGTTCGGACACGATTTAATGTTTACATTTTCCTGCATCGCTTATTGAATTTTACTATAGTATCAGAGGGTCTTTGGTAAAGTTCTGGGTCGAAGCTGCTCCCCTAAGGCCGACGCGTTCTGGTTTTGTCTTCGGTCTTATGGTCTTCGTTTTCTTGTGTGTCATGCTTTTTATCATATTAAAGAGCTGGTCAAGTTTATCTTCATCTTCTTCCTCTTTTACAGTCCTAACTTTACTGTAACCGCCAGAGGCCTGCATAGCTGACTCGTATTCGAGGGCGGCGGATAAGACATCAACCAGCGTCTTGTGACGAGCTAATCGTAGTGTTCTTTGCATCTCATGATCACGAAGACCATCAATAAACGTTTGAACGGCCAACTTTTCCATCATGTCTTCGGGAGCTGTTGGATAAGCATATCGCACTAATCTGGCGATATCTACTTCATATTCTTGAAGAGCCTCATCTTTCTTTTGTCTTCGATTTTTGAGCTGCGACTGATATACATCTTCCAAGTGTTCGTGGCCATATCGCATATGTAACCTCTTCTTCAGTTGTTCGAAATCATCCGTCTCCTCTACGGCTATGGTCTGGAGCACATCTAAGGCATCTCCTCGAAGAGCTATAGTCAGGTTTACAGCCTTTTCTTTTTCTGACCATCCATTCGCTCTTGCAGCTGATTCGAACTGTTTCATGTAGTTGTTCCATGACGATTTTCCGTCGAAAGCTGGAACTTTGACATGAACATAACCTCCGCTTCCTTCAAATTTCGGCCGTGTTTCCAACTTATATTTCGTCTCGTCTTCTTTTGTCTCTGCTATAATTGGATTGTTTTCCCTCTCTGCGGTCGTTGTTTCCTCCATCTTCCTTTCCATCTCTTTTATCTTCTCTTCGAAGGCCAACATATCGGCAGCAACTTGGTTCTTTAACGACGACACCCTATCATCGAGGGCAGACATCTCAGAAGTGACTTTAGAGATGTTAGCAGAAACTTTGCTTTCGAGAGAAGAAATCTCGTTAGAAACTTTGTTCTCTAATGATGCGATGTCACCAGAAATTTTCGAAATATCGCCAGAGACTTTGTTCTCTAATGATGCGATATCACAGGAAACTTTGTTAATCGATGAGATGACAGCATCTTCAAATATATAAGTTTTCGGATCTAAACCCTCTTCCTCCAAAGCCTTCTTTAGTCGTTGGACTAGCTCAGTCTTTTTTCCGGTAGAAGCTAATTCTTTGTCTTCAAGATGCCTTCTTAGATTCGTAACTGTGAGCTCGTAAATCGTAGATATTGTTCACCAATTTCACTTCTGACACCACTGTTATATTTTTATATTGTTTTAATTTATTTGTCTTTATTCTAATTTATTGTCTATATTCTAATTTATTAAAACTCACGATAACTAATTACGAATTTATTAAAGTCTTTATTAATCCTAATTTATATTACAAATAATTTATTTATGTTTCGTTACAATTAAATCACGTTTCCCGATCTTCTTATGACTGACTGGAACAAAAACAGAATTAGTCATAATATATTTATAGTTTTAAACGCAATAGTTATCGTAACAGTAATTTAAAGCACAAAGTAATATACATTATTGAATTATATATTTAACTATTTATTAGTGTCTCTAAAATACATTAGACCTGTTTAAGGATAGAATAAATATCTGTTTTACTAAAGATCGGTATATTTTTTTACATTTAAATAGCTAAACAAATCATATAAGACAATGTTGATATCTACCCATTTTTATTTTTAAAATAAGTTACTCAAATAAATTTAATTTTCGATGTAGATAAAACTTTTAAGATGCCTTTACGAAAACCCACTGATAAAGAGCAAAGAAATACATATTTGGAGAATTTGTGCTGACCAAATTTCAATTCGCTTAAACGCATCATGAATACGTTTGTTGTTAGGTTAAACACAGACAGGGCGGTTTGCGCCGCGTCTGCGCCTCATCGGCTGCCGTGCGGCTTAAAACACATGAAGCGGTTTAACAGTGGCAGTATTTTTGTCATTGTATTCGTAGTTGTCAAATTAGGTCAAGTCTTGGACGTAGAATGGTATGATGATGTCTCTAGAATCATCTAGTGCAAGTGACGACGATTTGTTTCTCCTAATAAGTGCAAGTTTACTTCATATTAGATGAAAGAAGAAGAAGAAACGCAAGTATTAGATACATCCTACAGTATATGAATGAAAAAATAAAGGAATGTTTTACACGTTAGTTAACGAAATTAAAAATGGCCCAGAACAGCACCTTCTGAAATAAAACTGTGGGTAACCTCTTCCCAAGCATGTTTTTTTCTTTATTTTATTCGGATATCCATTTGAGCGCATATCCCAAATTGCTGACCGTTGTGAATTTCGGTAATTAATTTATCGATGTCTATGGCTTCCATAATATATACAAAATTTTGCAAATAAAACAGTTACCAAATAAAACCGTTGCAAAACACGTCTGTGTTGAAGCACGAAATATCTATTACTGACGTGCCGCCAGAAGTCATAAAACCACCGGTGGCGCATGGTACTCAGCATAGACCGCGCGACGGCCGACGCGGCGAGCTGACAAACGACGCCTTGTCTGTGTTGCACAACATAAGTACCATAGACGAGAGACCGCTTTCAACGCCGCCGCAGCAACACCGTCCTGTCTGTGTTTAATCTTCTAGCTGGCACACTGTACAAATAGTTACTAAGATGTTATGAACCAATATTATTGTCGTTTCCTTACGTATATGCAACCACCTCATCAATTTCTTATTGTGCTATAGGTAAACAATATTATGCGTTATATTCAGTATAATTGAATGCATGTAACGTTTAACTCTAATATAAATTTATAGGTTGAAATTGCAAATTGTTTTTCTCTTGGGTACTTTCGGATGTAAATTTTGAATCAAATTAACGAAGTTGTAGCATTGAAAATGTTTAATTGTAAATGAGTATTTAATATTATTTTAATTAAGTTTTGTTGTGCTATATATGTATGTATTATTTAACAAAGCGCAAATTTAATTACATTTTGCCAACGTACTATGTAACTAACAAATTTTATATTCTTTCAGTTCTGTCATTGGGTACAAAAGACAATATAGAGATCGCACCCATTCTAGGCATCCTTGTCGGGATCGTAACTGCCCTTCTTCTAGTAACAGTTGTTGTGTTGGGGGCTATTAGGATAAGAACAGCGCGAAGGGAAGGCTCCCGAGCTCTTCGTCCGTCCTTTTTTAATGCAAAGGAGAAAGTCACTTTGCCTTTACGATCTGAATCAGAGGATCTTTTTGATAAAGATGATAAGAATCCTGATGTGATACCTAGTAATAAGGGTAAGTTTATTACCGTTAACTTAATTACATATTTGTTAAAAATTATTACAAAACTATATAAAGTATTTTATTTAGAAGAATCAGATATAATACATATACTGGATAAAGAAAGAAATCTAGAAAATATGTAAACAATATAGATTTATTAATTTTTTTTTAAATTACGTCTTGTTTCTACTCACAAAACCTATAGACGTAAAATTAACTATGCATAATATATAAAACAGAGTGTATTTAGTTCTCCAAAATTTTTTTTCATATTATCAGAAACTTTAATCCACTTTCAATCATAATTTTAAAGAATAAAGAACAGAAAGTAATTTTTGTAAAATAATAAATACTTAAGATCCTTACAGATAACTCGTATAGAAACATCAATCGCTTTAGTTTATGTATGGGTATATATTGGAAAAAATCAAATTTTGGGTTTCACCTGAACCCATTAACGCCAAAATTATATATTTTTTTCATTTTTGCGCAATTCTTACATATTTCAAAGATATTGGTTAAAACTGCCTAAAAATAATTTTGTTTTTCAAAATATATATACAGGGGTTAAAAAAAAGTTGATACCGTATGGTATCCGTGGGCGTTTAGGACAATTTTATTGCAAAAAATTAAAACTAAAATTACATGATATTAAACAAAAACTACAACATATTTTATTACTATTTTGTATGAAATGCTGCAAAGCAATTAACACATAATCCTACGTTACATTTTTGGCAGATTGTTCGGCCAAAAGATTTACAATCTGTACCTGCACATCGCCTTCTTGGGCAAGAAATTACGGAATGATTTATACCATCAAACCGTACATCTGGAACTACGTTTTTGCTAAGAGCAATTTGCGGTACCATACTTGTTCAAATAAAGCTATACTATTTTTCGTTTAAAATCTAGATTTGATATTTTATGATTTTTTCTGTACAAATACCATGCGTTTTGTATAGCTACGTCCAAAAGCCAGGTAAAAATCGGCCAATACCATTTTTTTCCTTGAATGCCAATTTGGTAAGCAGCTACTCCTTGGTCAATAAGATCAGTTTCCCCCATATTATTATTATAGGCTTTATAAGGCACCAATATGTACCTTTTTTTTATTCTGAGAATAACTCCGAACCTGTCGTAATAGTTGGACACCAGCATTTGTAGAACACATTGTCACTACTGAGTTATCCATCCAACGAACTAGTAAAATAACATATTTTTTTTATCACTTAAATAAGCGAGCCATGGGCTCTAAGTCACCACTAATCTATGTAGTAGAATTCTTTAGTTGAAGTTTGTTATTTTTATCCACTCAATGTGCTGGTCTGTTCTGCTAGTAGCGGTTGTACCAATTGTGAAACATTAAATTCATCTTTATCAACTCTAATTCGTACATTGTTTGTTAGCTTTATTTCAGCTTCTGCCCTTAACTGACGCCCTAAAAATACGAAGCAAATAAAATATAAAATCCGTTATGATCAACTGCTTCTTACCAGTTAAATTATACATCATTCTTCCTTCGTCTTCGTTAGCTGAATCCTAATCTGATTCTGCATTTACTTCTGGTGGAGTTATAAATATTTCTTCAATTTTCTGAAGGGTACAATTTTCGATTGGTGTGCAATTTGCAAAAAAATTTCACACCAATAAAACACACATCAGTCGGTTTACAAATGAGATATATTGAAAGTCTGTCTTGCCTGCTAACCTTGAAACTAAATACATTCGAACTCCTACTTAAACATTTCCAGTAGCGCCTTAGTAAAATTGAGAGGGATTTTGATACCATATAGTATCCGTGGGCGCTAATGGGTTAATTAAAACAATGACCTTTATAAAAATTGTTTTAGAATTTATAGTTCTTATTTTCTAAAAATTTTGTCTAAATACCGTCAGATATTAAAAAAAAGTTACAAGAAATTGAAAGAACAATTATAAAAATTCAATAATAAGTACGATGTGCTCCTAGGCAGAAATTAACTGTACATTTTCTTTAAATATAGGGTCCTAGGTTGTTGATAACCAATTTCAATCTTTATTTTGTCTGTTGTTGTTCCAAAAAGTGATTGGTGTTAACGCGATACCTTTGACGCAGATTGCTGAGCTATGAGTTTCGTCTTCTAGTACGACCTCGTTTGTATTCTAATATTGACTGATTGGATTTTACAGTAATAGTCAAAAATCCGTTTTGTCCCTCGTATCTTTTGAACGGTTATTGTTATAATAATGCAATTTGGAGGGAGGTAATAAATAGAAGTAGGCTTTTTAACTAGTCATAACGGGTGACGTAATAGTAACAGATGACGTTACAGCACCACTGTAACAGATAATTTTAAAAGGGACCTTATGGCAAGTGATACCTCGTTTGAAAGGTATTGAAAATACCTATTCAGTCATAATAATTTTGTTTGAATTTAAGCTCATTTTAAAGAATGAAATAAGTAAATATTAAAATTGTAGCTTCTCATTTAATTAATAAATATTTAACAACCAGTTCTTATAGTAAGTGTTCAAAATGTGCTCCATCTACTTGCAAAAAGCAACGCATTCTATTTCTAAACTCTCGTCGTACTTGTTTAAATGTGTCGGAGGAAATTATCCTACATTGTTCAACAATCCGTTGTTACAAAATGTAAATATTGTCGGGTGCTGTAAAAAATCTAATGGTCTGAGGTGCGGTGATCGAGCTGGCCAATCTAACATACCCCGTCGTCCAATCGATCTTCCACGATATTCCTCATCTAGCTAACGTCTTACTGTACCATAATGGTGTGCAAGAACACCACCTTGTTGAAACGTTATTTCCAAGTTGCTGAATTGATCTGGATTATCCTTCAGAATTTCAAGTATTAACGACTCAATTGCATTGTGTAAAATTTTCAGATACACTTCACCGGTTAAGTTAGTTTTGAGAAAACGAGTTTCTACTATGTGATTTCCCAAAACACCTGCCCAAACATTTATTTTTTTTGGAAATATAGTATGTATTTCACGAAAGACCTAAGGATTTGTATTACTCTAATACCTCATATTGTGTGTGTTAACATTTTCGTTGAGAGAAAAAGTACTTTCGTCGCTAAAACAAATTGTTTTTATGTAATCAAGGTATTGGTTAATTCTATTGGACATGTTTTTTCAGAATTCTAGTCTTTGGTCGGGATCATCATCTGAAAGTTGGTGCACAATTTTTAATTTACGTGAATGAAATTTGTTTTCAGTCAATACCCGGTGAACTGTCTTTTGACTGATTCCATAAATATTGTCGGTGCAACTTGGACTGTAGAAGAAGGAGGGTTCGCTACTATTTCTCAAATTATGTCAATTTTTTGGTCATCACTCATTGCTTGTCGACCAGATCGTTTGACATCTTGAACATTACCTGTTTGTTTAAACTTCCGGAGAAGCTTTCTCAAATAAGCTCTCCATGTAGGGCAATCGAAGTACCTCTCATTAAAAAGACGTTCCGCTGCATGGAAATTATTTTCACATTCACCAATTATTAACACAGTTGCTACTTTGTCGGCTACAGTACATACCATTCTGTATTGTATCTGTTTAATAATTAAACTAAATATTAACTAAGAAAAACTAACTATAAATAACTTCACTAAACTTGAATTGACTAAATTAAGCAGAAACAGAAACTAAGTATTTACGTATTACTTCGTTTGCAAACTAAAAATAACTAGAGAATTGAATAAACTACGCAGAAACAGAAACTAAATATTGAGCCATAAACGCTTTTGCAAACTACAAACAACTAGAGAATTATTATTCACTTATTCATCAAAATCATCTTAAATCCACACAAAATTTAATATGGTTGAATAGATATATTAAAATAATTGTAATTTCGCTTTTGATTTAAAAATATTCTAACGTTCGCTTCTGGTTAATTGACCAAAAACTTGACGTTGACGTAAAAACAATTAGAGAATTAAAGAACGTCAACTTTTTGACTAGTAAGCAGAGGCGGAGGTGTTTTAATATTTATTAATTAAATGCGAAACTACAATTTTAGTATTTATTTAATTAATTTATCAAAATGACTTTAACTCAAATAAATTTGGTATTTATTTGGTACAATACAACCTAATATAAGGATATAAGACCTGTTAGTCCTCTGCGAACTCTACGAAATTGCCAGGGCCACCTTCATAAAGATGAGAAAATTCTTCTGCAACAGAAATATAAGCATCCCGCTACGATTAAGAATGCTGAGAGGCTATGTATTTAACACGCTATTATACGGTGTAGAGGCCTGGACTCTCAAACAGAACAACATAAAAAATATTGAAAGTTTCGAGATGTGGTGCTACCGTCGAATTCTGAAGATTAGTTGGGTTGAAAGAATAACAAACTGTGAAGTAATACGAAGAATAGGAAAAGACCCAGAGATTTTGTTAATGCTAAAGCGAAGAAAACTCGAATATTTTGGTCACCTGATGAGAGGACATAAATACGCATTACTTCAAAATATAATGCAGGAAAAAATAGAAGGAAAACGGAATCCAGGCCGTAGAAGAATGTCATGGTTGCGGAATTTGAAAGATTGGTTTGGCTGCACCACTAATGAACTCTTTAGGTCAGCCGTAAACAAGGTCAGAATAGCCTTGATGATTTCCAATCTCCGATAGGAGTGGCACAAAAAGAAGAAGAAGAACTCTACGAAAATTGTTAAAACACATTATGGAAATGATGCGTGAATGTTTAAACTCTTATATCAGACCAGAAGATGACGAAACTGGAGGAAGAGCCGAAAAGAATAAAATAGGACATCATCGGCCTCAGCGGAATAAGATGAAGAGGAGAAGCCCAAATTACTGTTTAATTACGTCACGTATTTCATTTAAGAGGAGAAGAAGTCACTTTAAATAGAGGAGTATAATTTATTATACATAAAAAGAACACACAAAATATGGCATAACGCAGAAACTAAAAGAAACGGGAAGGGAGTGCTGCCCGAACGTTCTAAACCATAAAGGAAAATTAAGCCAAAATACGAAAGGGCTAATAACTAAAAGAAGACAGCTTACGAAAAACATGGTCCAACCACAGAAAAAAATGGTCAAATTTTGTTAAATGTTCCATACATTTCTCAAATTGTTTTCAATCTACACCTACATGTAACCTGATCGAA